TTGCCCATAACGATACTAATCTACTTAAAACAGCTGTTTAAAGTTGTACAAATTGCTTAAGTGATTTATATTCTCTCATAAGTAGGACTATTTGCTACTTTACTAAACTGAACATCATTGATTTTTCGTTTTTCATGAACTTCTGATGGCTAGTTCAAGTAGCATTGTCTTTTGTGCAGGTTTACTGAATACGTCCCTTTAAAATTGGGTCTTTCGTGGGTTTAAAGGGTCAAAATGTTGGAACTTTGCACACTGTGGAACGTTTGGGGTGTGTTTCCTTTAATTTGGCAAGAACTGCATCAAATTACTTGATAAGAGAGCAGAAATGTAGCAATTTAGGCTGAAAAGTACTGTTTTCAATGAAAAAACGAAAATTGCTGACTCAGCAAAATTTAGATCGTCGTCTCCAGAATTTTAGGGGTTAATTTGCAAAACTTTAAATGGTCCCATAGAAACATATGCGAAATATGGCTAAATTCGACATATTTCTCGAAATTCACTGATAAATGTGGTTGATATTAGGTAGAAAGCAACTTACTTTTTCACCCATTGGAATACATGTAAAATTGGCAAAGTTCAAATCATAATTTCTCAAATCCCAGCCCATCGAATCCTCACATCCATTCAGATCATGTAGTCCTATTCAAAAACTTCCCGTTCGGTTATATGGTGAAAAAAATATCCCACGAACGAAAAAAGATTTTGCTACATTTATAAGCGAGCATTGATTTCTGGGCCTGTAAAAAGCACGTAGGACCTGATTACCCCATTGATTTACTGAGACCGCCAAAAATTTAATTCAATTTTTTGGTTCAAAATAATAATCTGTCAGCGGTCCCTGACACTCCTACTAGCTATCACCAAACATTAATTGCCAATACATGTACACATATACGTGCCATACATCTACAAAGTAGCGAACTAGTGTATTAAGTACTACTTTTCCTATACGATGAGCAAAACAAATCTCAAGTAGGTTATATTGACCCTATTAGTGTCATGGTTGACTGAATATGCATTTTATTCAATATGAATTTTAAAGTTCGGGGTTTTATGAAGTGATATGTACATTTTTGCTCAAATCCCCTCAGCACTTTTGATTCTATAGGGTTCTCTTGACCCCTGGGGTCATTATATTTTGTGACAATTTATTCCAGACTAAATGTAGTTATTTTGTCATTAAAATATCTTATTAGAGAAACGTTCAGGAAAAGTTGCGCTATCCACAAGACTTCTTGACACTGCACTGATAAATGTAGCAAAATAGTCAAAATAATTCAGCCTTGAGCATGACATTTTTGAATTTTTGGACAAATTTTGGGCTATTTTGGGGGATTTTTGCCCATAACGATACTAATCTACTTAAAACAGCTGTTTAAAGTTGTACAAATTGCTTAAGTGATTTATATTCTCTCATAAGTAGGACTATTTGCTACTTTACTAAACTGAACATCATTGATTTTTCGTTTTTCATGAACTTCTGATGGCTAGTTCAAGTAGCATTGTCTTTTGTGCAGGTTTACTGAATACGTCCCTTTAAAATTGGGTCTTTCGTGGGTTTAAAGGGTCAAAATGTTGGAACTTTGCACACTGTGGAACGTTTGGGGTGTGTTTCCTTTAATTTGGCAAGAACTGCATCAAATTACTTGATAAGAGAGCAGAAATGTAGCAATTTAGGCTGAAAAGTACTGTTTTCAATGAAAAAACGAAAATTGCTGACTCAGCAAAATTTAGATCGTCGTCTCCAGAATTTTAGGGGTTAATTTGCAAAACTTTAAATGGTCCCATAGAAACATATGCGAAATATGGCTAAATTCGACATATTTCTCGAAATTCACTGATAAATGTGGTTGATATTAGGTAGAAAGCAACTTACTTTTTCACCCATTGGAATACATGTAAAATTGGCAAAGTTCAAATCATAATTTCTCAAATCCCAGCCCATCGAATCCTCACATCCATTCAGATCATGTAGTCCTATTCAAAAACTTCCCGTTCGGTTATATGGTGAAAAAAATATCCCACGAACGAAAAAAGATTTTGCTACATTTATAAGCGAGCATTGATTTCTGGGCCTGTAAAAAGCACGTAGGACCTGATTACCCCATTGATTTACTGAGACCGCCAAAAATTTAATTCAATTTTTTGGTTCAAAATAATAATCTGTCAGCGGTCCCTGACACTCCTACTAGCTATCACCAAACATTAATTGCCAATACATGTACACATATACGTGCCATACATCTACAAAGTAGCGAACTAGTGTATTAAGTACTACTTTTCCTATACGATGAGCAAAACAAATCTCAAGTAGGTTATATTGACCCTATTAGTGTCATGGTTGACTGAATATGCATTTTATTCAATATGAATTTTAAAGTTCGGGGTTTTATGAAGTGATATGTACATTTTTGCTCAAATCCCCTCAGCACTTTTGATTCTATAGGGTTCTCTTGACCCCTGGGGTCATTATATTTTGTGACAATTTATTCCAGACTAAATGTAGTTATTTTGTCATTAAAATATCTTATTAGAGAAACGTTCAGGAAAAGTTGCGCTATCCACAAGACTTCTTGACACTGCACTGATAAATGTAGCAAAATAGTCAAAATAATTCAGCCTTGAGCATGACATTTTTGAATTTTTGGACAAATTTTGGGCTATTTTGGGGGATTTTTGCCCATAACGATACTAATCTACTTAAAACAGCTGTTTAAAGTTGTACAAATTGCTTAAGTGATTTATATTCTCTCATAAGTAGGACTATTTGCTACTTTACTAAACTGAACATCATTGATTTTTCGTTTTTCATGAACTTCTGATGGCTAGTTCAAGTAGCATTGTCTTTTGTGCAGGTTTACTGAATACGTCCCTTTAAAATTGGGTCTTTCGTGGGTTTAAAGGGTCAAAATGTTGGAACTTTGCACACTGTGGAACGTTTGGGGTGTGTTTCCTTTAATTTGGCAAGAACTGCATCAAATTACTTGATAAGAGAGCAGAAATGTAGCAATTTAGGCTGAAAAGTACTGTTTTCAATGAAAAAACGAAAATTGCTGACTCAGCAAAATTTAGATCGTCGTCTCCAGAATTTTAGGGGTTAATTTGCAAAACTTTAAATGGTCCCATAGAAACATATGCGAAATATGGCTAAATTCGACATATTTCTCGAAATTCACTGATAAATGTGGTTGATATTAGGTAGAAAGCAACTTACTTTTTCACCCATTGGAATACATGTAAAATTGGCAAAGTTCAAATCATAATTTCTCAAATCCCAGCCCATCGAATCCTCACATCCATTCAGATCATGTAGTCCTATTCAAAAACTTCCCGTTCGGTTATATGGTGAAAAAAATATCCCACGAACGAAAAAAGATTTTGCTACATTTATAAGCGAGCATTGATTTCTGGGCCTGTAAAAAGCACGTAGGACCTGATTACCCCATTGATTTACTGAGACCGCCAAAAATTTAATTCAATTTTTTGGTTCAAAATAATAATCTGTCAGCGGTCCCTGACACTCCTACTAGCTATCACCAAACATTAATTGCCAATACATGTACACATATACGTGCCATACATCTACAAAGTAGCGAACTAGTGTATTAAGTACTACTTTTCCTATACGATGAGCAAAACAAATCTCAAGTAGGTTATATTGACCCTATTAGTGTCATGGTTGACTGAATATGCATTTTATTCAATATGAATTTTAAAGTTCGGGGTTTTATGAAGTGATATGTACATTTTTGCTCAAATCCCCTCAGCACTTTTGATTCTATAGGGTTCTCTTGACCCCTGGGGTCATTATATTTTGTGACAATTTATTCCAGACTAAATGTAGTTATTTTGTCATTAAAATATCTTATTAGAGAAACGTTCAGGAAAAGTTGCGCTATCCACAAGACTTCTTGACACTGCACTGATAAATGTAGCAAAATAGTCAAAATAATTCAGCCTTGAGCATGACATTTTTGAATTTTTGGACAAATTTTGGGCTATTTTGGGGGATTTTTGCCCATAACGATACTAATCTACTTAAAACAGCTGTTTAAAGTTGTACAAATTGCTTAAGTGATTTATATTCTCTCATAAGTAGGACTATTTGCTACTTTACTAAACTGAACATCATTGATTTTTCGTTTTTCATGAACTTCTGATGGCTAGTTCAAGTAGCATTGTCTTTTGTGCAGGTTTACTGAATACGTCCCTTTAAAATTGGGTCTTTCGTGGGTTTAAAGGGTCAAAATGTTGGAACTTTGCACACTGTGGAACGTTTGGGGTGTGTTTCCTTTAATTTGGCAAGAACTGCATCAAATTACTTGATAAGAGAGCAGAAATGTAGCAATTTAGGCTGAAAAGTACTGTTTTCAATGAAAAAACGAAAATTGCTGACTCAGCAAAATTTAGATCGTCGTCTCCAGAATTTTAGGGGTTAATTTGCAAAACTTTAAATGGTCCCATAGAAACATATGCGAAATATGGCTAAATTCGACATATTTCTCGAAATTCACTGATAAATGTGGTTGATATTAGGTAGAAAGCAACTTACTTTTTCACCCATTGGAATACATGTAAAATTGGCAAAGTTCAAATCATAATTTCTCAAATCCCAGCCCATCGAATCCTCACATCCATTCAGATCATGTAGTCCTATTCAAAAACTTCCCGTTCGGTTATATGGTGAAAAAAATATCCCACGAACGAAAAAAGATTTTGCTACATTTATAAGCGAGCATTGATTTCTGGGCCTGTAAAAAGCACGTAGGACCTGATTACCCCATTGATTTACTGAGACCGCCAAAAATTTAATTCAATTTTTTGGTTCAAAATAATAATCTGTCAGCGGTCCCTGACACTCCTACTAGCTATCACCAAACATTAATTGCCAATACATGTACACATATACGTGCCATACATCTACAAAGTAGCGAACTAGTGTATTAAGTACTACTTTTCCTATACGATGAGCAAAACAAATCTCAAGTAGGTTATATTGACCCGAAGTGAAAAACATGGAAAAATATTTTCCGCATCTTTCCAATGGAAAAGTGGTAACGGGGTTTGGGCGAGGAAGTAAACAACTTGGAATTCCAACAGGTATTGTCTGATATATATTTGATCAAGTTTAGATGCACTTCATTTCAGCAGTTTGTGCACAGTCAGAGAGAATGTTTCTGGCGAAATTCTGGGACTTCAAATACTTTTAAGTTGGGAAACCGGAAGTGCTTACCTTTTTTAATTCCCGAATCTCTCCGAAATTAGCTCATCTTGGTGACTGTAAACTGCACAGCTGTATTCAATGGAGTCTTGTCATATTCGATCAGCCTCAATTTTAAAGTGTATATTTTATTTTCAACGTGATTTCATCGTTTTTTGTCGACTGGTAAGAATACGCCGGGCAAATGGCAAGATGGATGACTTTTGACCTGACCTTGACCGATGGTGATCACGTCATCAATATTACCAAGATGGCGGTTTCAAAATTTTCTAAAATCGCTTCAAATAATATTATGTTAATTCCTAGCGAGTAAAGATATCTCTTAGTTTGCTATTTCACAATAAGATAACGAAATGTGTAAGGAATTCGTATTTATCAATTAAAACATCACATCGACATTTGGTATTCGTAAACTAGACGATGAAGATAACGACCTCGAAAAAAAACAAAAGAGCGACTACGGGATTCGAACCCGGGCCTCCAGCGTGCTAAGCGAGGATTCTTCCCCTAGACCACCGATATGTTACATATGGTAATGGGATTTAAACGCTACTTACTTTGAATGCTATGATTCGGAAGTGACGTCACTATCTTCACGTTTTATTTGAGAGCGAGAACGAGACGTGCCAGAAGCCCGGCATTTTTGTCAGTCGACCTGTTCAAAGTACATTTAGTTATAATTATCGCTTTCCAGAACAATTTAGGAAACAATATTTTCTATCTACGTCGATTACAAAGCATCTAAGGTACGTAAATTTATATGAACAACTGAGTCAATAGGGATAAATAGCCCAACGAGAGTCGGCGGTCTTAAAAAATACTTGGATCTGGATGCCAGTCCTGGTATAAATATAGTTCCAGGGCAATTCGAAGAACGTATTAGATGTCCGTGAGTTTGTGTATATTTTTTGTAAGCTTATTTATTTTTTCAGTGATAGACTAGATCTAGATCTATAATTTTCAATTACATGAACTTCAAACAACTTCAAATGAGGGGGGTCAACATTTACTTGCATGAGAGACTTAGACTTATTCTCAGGAGAATATGTGTCATGTTGTATTTCTTTCCATACATACTATAAGATCTAATCACAAACTTAGACAAGGCTGACTCGGTTTTGATAATATGGAGTGATACACCATTGACGATTTAGTGATGAAAAACATTACAAATCACAAAGGGCTACAAAGTGAACAGAACTTTTTCTTGGGAATACTCTACAGTAAAATTTTAAGGTCCTCGGGGTAGTTATCAGAAATTTACAACAAACAGGAAATGAAAAAAAACATGTGGATTTTAGAATTTTTTGAAGTAAGATATAAAGGTTCTTGTATGAGTACATGTGCAAGATCGTCTATTCTTGATGAGCTTTGATAATTCTTCTGTATCGAGTCAAGACGAGCTAAATAAACATTATCAAAGCGAGTCAGCAGTGACGATATTGCACAGGTCTGAGTACAAGAAAGTTTTTCTCATATGACTATCTAAATTATGCGACATTTTTCATATTTTTCGATCATACTGAGTGAAAATAGCTTCAAATCAATGGAACCTCATCTTGTTATCTGAAGCCTAGCTCCTCCATCTCTTTCACCAGAGCATGTAGTTCTCTCCTTGAGTCTCCTTCTTGTGAGCACGGTGAAGGAAATCCCCTGTGGTTGGGTCAACTCCCCCCTGGAAAACCTATGTTAGTACAATGGAAATAGCACTACACTATCTTGTATGATAAGGTTGCATATAATCTTAATGTTATCTATGAGTTAGATTTGAATGTTTGAACACTTATCTGTGTGATGATAGGGGACTTATAATACTCACTATTGTATTTAAGATGATGGGAGACTTATTTACTTTGACCATGAGATGTCAAAAGTCAATTTATGTACTATCAAATTCAAGGTATTTCAGAGTAAATCTCAGATGTTTATTTATATAGAGACATGGAATCCGTATTTAGATCTCTTGTTGTATTGAAATTGAAGATGTGTCAAAGTTGGTAGATAACTATTATGTCACCCACTCAGAATTTAGATAAAATTCTTTTATTTGCTCCTTCGAATTAAATTTGAATTGATATACGGTATCTTGATAAATACAGTACAGTGTGTACTTTAATGCTGAATATAATTGAAAGATACTAACTGTACAGTAATTATAAATTTGATATCAGCATTCAGATCAGAATGACTGGTCACCTTGACTACTACTACTAGTAATGCTTGTGTAACATCAAGTTTTATGAATATCATAAACATTTTAAATGAAATTTAATATTGGTGGCATTAATTATATCTATTTTGATCCCACTTTCAAATTAGTTTCTCAGCTTGTTCTTACAACATGTAGTTTGTTTACTTTGTTAATCAAGTTTTTAAATTTACAACATACTGATTTTTACAAAAAATAGTTCCTAGCAAAGGGTAAGGAATGTATCACGTAATCTTTGTTGGTTATTTAATTAAAGAAGTTAAGCCCTGGACTCATTGCAATGTGGAATGCCCATTCCTTGAAGGTGTTGCTTTCCAAAATTTGCATGAGATGTGCAGCATTGAGTGTTAATTTTAGGAAACAGCAGATTAAAGGAATGGTTATTCCACAATGCATTGAGTCTAGGGCTTAAATTCTTTTCACACATTGGAGAATATTTTTTACCATGTCACTTAAATGATACAAAATCACTCAAAAAACAATTTTTTAATGAAACTTCGAAAGGGGCAAAGCATCAGCTTCAATCTCTAGAGTCAACTCACCTTGACAACCACATAAGGAATGACCTTGGATGCAGTGAAACAGCGTGTTCTGTTTGACTGGAATTGGACACACCTTGCTTTAAAACGATGTGTGAATGTGTTGATTTTACTATGAATTAGATTCACTGATTCGTTTAAACAACATCGCCTATATATATATTTTGAGCTATATTGTAGTAGTCCTATATCCTGTATTGTAAATCTATCCATTTGGCTCTTTAAGTATAATGTAATATTTTTTGGAAGAGCTTTTGCATTGCATATTGCAAATGTGAAATTATGAATGAGGCCCAAAACATGGAATACATGAGATTCTAAATTGGCAACAATATGCATGCCAATTTTTACAATATTATTGTTTTGACTTGAGAACTACCAGTATGTATTTATTTAAATCTGTTGAATTAGATGCGAGTGAAAAATTCTTGCCAAAAATGTAGGTACTAAGAGGTCACAACCAATTAAATGTATAGGCCTCCTCTTTAGATATTGATAATGAAAAATATTTTAAGCCACAAATTCCATGTGTATTCAATAGGTATTTTCTTGTTTTCTTTCAGCTAACTTCCCAGAAGAAGTTGTAGATGAGCTCCCTCCTTCATTGCCCACTGGGGTGTATTTTGGATGGGCTTCAGTAGATGGAGGACCCATATATAAGATGGTTATGAGTGTTGGCTGGAATCCATTTTACAATAATGAGAAAAAATCGATGGTAAGTAAATTATACAAACTAAGTTTATTGTGTCAGTTTTGGATTCTTTTCATACAGCAGTATCCCTAATTCAAGTGCTCAATGTTCAGTTGGTAAAAATGAAAACTTTTAACAGAAATATGTTGCAAGAGATCCTCTTTTACATTGTAAACATTATTTGCTGAGATAGCCATAACACTCAAGAACTCTGACATGGAGACAAGTATCTTTACCAGTTTATGGACACTGCTTTGGAGGAATCTATAATGTGTACATTCAGTTCTCTAACTAAACAATAAAGAGCATCTGCGATATAACCGAGAGGTAGTGGGTTCAATTCCCACCGAGGTGGAGTGACTTTTTCACATCAGCCCTTTGTACACTTAGCGTAGGATTTGTTCCTATGTTTCAAATTTTAAATTCTCTTGCGCACAATTGTCTACCTAAACAAATGGTCTTAAAATATCAAGTCTTTTTAAGTGTTTAACTACTCTATTGTAGGAATAGATATATTGTTGATATAGACAGGAAAACAAAAATCATATTGAATTTAACACATTAAACACAACATCCTTACTCAGTGATGCACGCATTTATTGCATTATTACTCATAAAGCATGTACATGTAAATAGAAAAATGTGCTTAAGATATATATACCATGATATCCTGTTGGTATAAATCATCATATTAAATACTACTTGCTTGATCTTGATAGCAATATGATTGGTTTTATCTTTTTCATATTTCTGTATCTATGGATATTTAAATATAAAGAAAGATTATGCAGTAAAACCTGTCCAAGTGGAACACCTTTGGTACCTCTAAAACATGTTCCACTTGGGAGGTGTTCTACTTATAGAGGTTCATTTAACATTAAGTCAGTTGGTGTTGGGACTTTGAAAAGTGTTTCACGAACAGAGGTGTTCCACTTTACAAGTTTCACAGTATTTAATTGTTGAATGGATGTACTGTGAATCAAGTTTAAAGTTGATCATTGATAGGATAGTGTTCATATTGATGGGTGTTTATATTACTATTGTATTACTATACATACAACTGTATGACAAAGATAAAGAATATATTTTGTGAAAATGTCACAATGACATTTATAAACTGTTAACCAACTATTATATTTATGGCAATAACATTTTGTAGCTCTCTATATCGATATTAAACTTCATTTTGCCACATGAGAGCTACTTGGAGGTTAGAGACAGATTATATGTAGAACCTGTTTAATTGAAAAATTAATTAAGAAATGTTTTGAATTCTGTTTTAGGAAACGCATATACTGCATACATTTGAGGAGGACTTTTATGGCTCTGAATTAAAAGTAGTCATGGTAGGATACATTCGGCCAGAGAAAAACTTCAAGTCATTAGGTATGTTGAATATCATTTAATTCACTATAAATTAATGTAATTAATTTAAGTGGAAGAAATTGAGGAAACGGAATGGAAGTTTCGATTCAGTTGAGCGCATCAATCTTTGAAGCATCAGTACATATCTTTCTTTGTTATAGACAACTTACTAAACTAATTCTTGGAAATAGAATCTCTAGTCACTTAGTCTCATTAATAAAATTTCTGAGTGGGCAGCGATTTAGTAAGTTAGGCTTAGTTGAATCCTATTGTAGTTGGTGCAAACATTTTAACACACAAGTTAAGGATATAAAAAAATATGTGATGCTTATTATGCATTGCAATCTGTATGCTTGTTATGTCACACCAGAAGTCTCCAACTTTTTTGTGGATGGTGTTCGGCGATTGGTGGTCAGTGTTCGGCAGTTAATGTTCAACGTCTTTAAAATGGCATGTGGTTACATTTTACATGTTAAATATGCCTTGCTAAATACTACAGTGTAGCTCATGCGTGGTCTCACTTGTTAAATATGGCTCAATATTGCTCCTTTCACAATTGTATTGCTTATCTCCTTACAGATGATCTGATATCAGCAATTAAAAGTGATATAGACACAGCTCATGAACAGTTGGAGAAACCAGAATATCAAATATACAAAGATAATGAATTCTTCAAACCAACTCTACAAAATGGCCATGTTAATGGACTTGTAAATGGAACAGAACGGTGAAATTCTCAAACCACTACAAAATGGATGTATTGAAACAGGAGACAGGGGCCAATTATGAATGTATTTAACATACCGCAACAGCATCCACAGAAAACTGCAGTATCAGGAATATTGCTCCAATCACTTGGAATAATACCCCTGCATGTAGATTACTCCACTCAACTTACACTCTGCTGGACACAGAGCAAAATCCCATTTTACATGAATTTGTATGTGGCGACTCTATCATAGTGATGAACAATCATTCACAACAGTCAATGAATTGCCAATTTGTTTTTTTGGGCAATGATGAAGTGCTGGTCAAAAAGTTCAGATCCCAGTTTACATAGAAAATTACAATTCAGCCAAAAGAAAATGTCTGCAATATGTACAGGGTGTGCCAAAAAAATTTGCAACTTTTTAGAAGGCTAGAAATGTATTACAACATTATGATATTGACATAAATTTTTTTCAGAAACTTAAGGATAGGCATATTTTACTATAAGCTAATACTGACTAAACTTTTTATTATACATGTTCTGGAAAGGTTTCAAACTGAAATATAATCATTTTATTTATCATTTAAGTCTCCTTACAATGTATAATGTAATGTATTTATCATATTATCTAGTTATCTATCATCTGGTCTGAAGAAGGCCTATTTGTTATTACCTATAACTGTTACCGGTATTTATGTTTTAGTAAATGAATGGACCGGTGAAAGAACAGTAAAACCTTTCTAATCCAAGCACCACTGGGACTGGTGAAGTGTTCAGATTAGCAGGTGTTCACATTTCAAGGTTTTTAAAATATCTTGAGTCAATGGGTGATAAGAAATTTCTGACCAAGAATAAGTGTTCACACTGAGAGGTGTTTGGATTAGAGGGTTTTTGGATATACAGGTTTCACTGTATATTAAGACTTGAAGGTGGCCAAGTCCATGTTTGTTCACTGATTGTTATGGCAACACACTTATCACAAACATTCATCCTCATAACAATCAATATATATTTAGACAAATATCAATTTAATCCAATACTGACTTAAATTGAGCATTTAAACATTTATATGTCTATACTCATATTGCATCACATAATTATCACACATATGGAAGTGATATTTCACTAAATGGCTATTCAATCACTTCGATTTCAACAAATACATCTTCATTAACTGTTATTGAAACAATTAGTTCTCCTTGTGTATTATTTATTCAACTTATTTTTTAAACCCAAAGGTCTTGAAATAGGGTCAAACCAAACTTTCTTCATATTCAACAAACTTCTTTACGTGCAATTCATATCTTTATCATCTCCGTTTTTAGTGATAATTGAATTTGATGTTGCAAAGGAGGAGCATCCTATACATTTATTAAGTATTGTATAAAGTATTTTAAATCCACCGAATAGATAAAGATGCACAATTATTCTTTTGGTCTTTTTAGGAAATGTTACTTCTACAGAGGTAGATAATTTAAATTGTATACCTCTCTATGGTCATTGGAGTTATAGAATAATCTGAGACACTTACTTTGAATGATAAATACGTGCAGTATTTCACAGTTGGCAACCATTACAATGACGGTGGTTTCTGTAAATTATAATGTATTCCAAAATGGCGGAAAGGGGTAAGAAATATTTTTGCAACCAAAAGTATGAAAGCCTCTCAATGCAAGCCTATAGATCGAGGCAACAAGGAATTTCTTAATGCCAATGTATTTATTGCAATGGTTAATCCACTGTGACTTTACAGGGTTGTGATATAATACTGTTGTTGACTAATGTAGAAATCATTAATAGAATGGAAATTTGAATTAAATTTTATTTACTAATTAATAGCTGTTTCTTATTATATGTTTGGCTAACCTATGGAATCGCAAAATTGTCAGTCTATCCATCCATCCTTAAACCTGGCCATCCATCGACAATTTTTGAACAAATGAAAACTGCCATTCATCTAAAGTAATGTTTAGATCCATATTGTTTTGATCCACTTTTTATCTACTTTTACCTTGCATTGATGCCATTCAACAAATGAATCAGAGATTTGGTCCTGGAATACCTCAAGTGTCACTACCTAAAGTAGAAGATTGATCATATTCAGGCCAGTATCTAGCTTTTGCCAAAGGAGTTCAAACTTTAAAAGTTCAGGAGGTTTTGATTTGAAAATTCCCCAAAATCACTTGAAAAGTGCTCAAAATGGTAAAAAAACTGCATTATCTTGAATCCCCCTGGTCACAGGGCAGATATTATCACCATCAGGATTTGTATCGTAGAGAAATATTAATATGCAATAAGTCTTGACCGACACATAAGGATCATCTTCAGTAGTAAGCTTATGTCTCTTAGAAGCGTCTTAGTCTAACTGACATCTATAATTCAAGTCTGCAAAAAGATCACATTGCATTTATTAGTTTTTGCAAAATTATCTTTTTATATGATGAGGATGTATCCGATATATATAAACATTTTTTATGAGAAGAAAACATGTATCAGTAGCGGATCCAGGGAGGGGCCATGAGGATCGCCCCCCCCCCCCCCTTAGGTGGACCCAGAAAAAAAATTGGGCCAAAAAAGGCCTTAAGGCTCCAAAAAGTGGGGCTTTTTGGACATTACTGGGGCTTTTAGGCCTTATTTTTTAATTTCAGCCCAAATGTTGAAGAAACATAAAAGTTAACTAATAAATTACTACAAGTGCTATGGAAAAAAGGTGTAACGATGTTTCAAAACGTTATCATTAACTTCTGTCTGCAATGCTTCCCCTTTTATTCAATCCATATAATTGATCAGAACTCATTTGTTTTTGAAACGGTAATAATATAGATGGCACATCCCTATGTATCGCATAAGCAACACGTTTCTTGAAGATAAATGTTTAGTTTGTCAATAGATGTCAGCGTTGATGTGTGTCTGGCGCACTAATAACTTGGATTGTGACTAAAGGGGAAATTCATGATATTACTGACGTAGAATATGATGATCGTTGAAAAATTCGTGCACCTTTGTGTCCATATTTGATTCTGTAATGTCAAAGAATGGCCCCAAACACTACTCTTATTATCCGGGGCAAGTCTAATGATGCTGAGACTACCGTTTATGGGGTCCCACCGTGCCCCATTGGTTGAGCTTATAAGGGTCCCCAAGACTAATGAAGTTATGAAAGATTTAAATTGCAAAAATGGGGGAAAATGTTCAATAAATAATAGAAATTGTATAACATCATATTTATATACAAATTAATGAATTATTGTGAAAAGCTAACGTTTTACTGGAATTAAGTATGCACTTTGGGGCTTTTTAGAAAACAGTTATCTTTTTACTAAAAATCCTATTCACAAGTGCGGATGTGGAAATTTTATTTATTTCAAAACGCAAAACAGATTTACTAATTGTTGATTGGCACATTGGTATAATGTACTCTTAGACATTCGGTCGTGACTGAGTATTATATAATCTAATTTCTACATCCGGTAAAAAAAATACAGAATATTTTGCAAGTTGTATGTATAAGTAGGTAAAATTAAAACAATAGCAAATTATGGCATACTTGTCAACCTTAAAATAAAAGATACGGTAGTCTAGATTGTTTCAGGTAAATTACAAGATGATCTTAAAGCCCATATAATGTTTAAACCACTTTGGCTTATGCTGTAGGCTAGTCCTACCCCAATGTTACCAAAATGTAATAATATTATGTGAAAAAAGATTATTTCAAAAAACTAAATTGATAAGCGATGATGGTCTGTCAATGGCGTCTATCTCAGTTCTATAGCTGTAGACGTCATTCCACACCGGTGCCTAGCATTAATTCATCCTCATTCCTCATATGTTTTTGAAAAATGAATTAAGAAAATCGATTGGTAAATCAGCGAGAAAAAACTCATCCACGCAAGAAAGTGGATCAGAGAAAAATGCATTTCGAAATTTTCCGTTTTCAAGAAACCAGCAATGGTATAGTAATATTCAAAACACATTTATATTCTTCTTTTCAACCTACAGGGTGTCCCAGAAGTAATGATAATTATGATCTAACATTTTTATTTGATACGGAAACAATATGACAATCACACAAATTAAAGATCAATATGTAAGCTTCATTTTGCCATATGGTGTGGTTGCCACAGTAACCTGTATGTGCGTTCTGCGGAGCAACTTTGTTTTCCAGATTTTCGAAACACATTTCGTGTTCATTTTTTCCCTGCTGTTCCCATTACTATATATAGCAATATTGCAATTTTATTCCTCAAGGAGCATTGCACATGGTGGTTTCAATTATCCACATACTGTCCTTTGCTGGAGAGTTTATAAATGCCTTTCCAACCCGATTAACACACGATCAAAACCACTGTTTAACATATCCTGCAGAAGCAACCTGAGCTTGTCGCGATCGGGAAGGCAATAATCCACTAATGCACAAATCCAAGGCATGACAAACAAAGGTTTTGTTTGTTTAGAAAGGTATCGAAAAATTGTCTCCAGCAAAGAACAGCCAAGTGAAACAACCATGTACAATGCCTCCTTGAGGAATATGGGGAATAAATTAGCAATATATACTACTGTAGTAATGTGAGCACCAGTGACGAAACATATTAACACGAAATGTTTTTAAAAACAGAACGCATATACACGTTGGTACGACAACCATAAATGGAATGGAACGCAATACATCTGGATCTTTAATTTGTGTGAATTTCTTGTTGTTTCTTAATCAAATAAAAGTTTTAGAGCAAAATCATCATTACTTTTGGGACACCCTGTAGTTTCTAGTCAACATAAACTCCCCTTCATAAGTTAGGCAACCTTAGCTCACCCATTGAACTACGTGGTAAAGCCTCTCTACGTTTGGATTTTTATCTACTTAACCTGCCATGAAATAACTTATAATTTGATGGAAACGTAACTTGACTTTATTTCCAATACCTCCAAATGTTCCCAATTTTTTTATTCAATTACAAAAGGTCGGAAATCGATGATAAATTTGATGAATTTTTAAAAATCGTCATTCCCGTGTAAACCAATGGGAAATGATGGGTTCGGGGCAAATCGGAAATCAGGATATCTATTCAGTAAAAGATTTAGCAAAAAATATTTTCATATAGAAAATTGAATTTTCTAACTTTTCTTGTACCAATCCATTGTCGGAATTTCCCTGTCAGTGTCAGTCCCAGGGTGTCAGTCTAGCCTTTGGACCTATGAGGTAGGCTCCCGGGGGTAAGGGAACATGAGGCAAAACGGCCCTCAAAATAAAATTTTAAGTTGTTCCGTACTGGGTCTTTTCTTATCGTCAATCATCGCACACCTTTTTGTTAAAATCGTTATATTTGAAAATCAATTGTTCTTGTACATAAGTATGTTATAGGCCTAAGCTTTGTGGGGCCGTTTTGCCCCATTGTCATGAGTATTCAAAACTGAGACGTCATTTTAATTCCCTCATATTTGAAGCTCGAACTTTTGACAAATAAT